GTGCAACAAGCAACAAGGGTGGATAAAAATCAATGATTTTTAAAAAAAAAATAAAAAAAAAAATCAGATTTTTTTTATTTAAATCGGATTTTTTTGATTTAAATCGGATTTTTTTAAATAAAATGCTTTTTGAGGAAAATATATTACCATCCAAAGGTTATTCCATCGTGAAATAAAGATTAGTTTTTTAATTATGTAGAATAAGGCTGTATATGTTTAATTTTTTTGGTAAATAAATTCCATGAATCCATTCACAATGTCAGGCTCTTCCAGAGGTGTTTGTAAGATTATTGGGCAGTTTCTCTGCCTACAAGATATTATCACAGATGTTGGTTTACTTTTGCAGTTCTCAAAACTGAATTTGACTCAGCGGAGATCACATGCCTCTTCTTCACAGCAAAAATGTTATAACATGAACAGAGTTAAGAAAAAGACCTTCATCCTAACTTCTACAAACCTATGAATACAGAATCAACCCCTTCACTGCTAAGTTTCAAGAAGTTCAGTGAATAGAAACAATATGTTTCTGATTGTTTGGAGTGGAATAGATCTGCACAAGAAGAAAGTGAAACTAAGTGTGAGGGGGAAGGGGCTGACAGTCTAAGGTTCTTAAAATATATATATTTTGTTTAGCCAAATTAGTTAACAAACATGGATGTTTAAGCAAATCACATATGCTGGAATGTTATTGTTTCAGTTGAATAAATCTATTTAAATTGTTATTATTAAGGTAATGATTATTTTTCTCCTTCCTAAGTACAACAGAAAAGTTGTCCAAATATGAATGATTAACCTATTAAACTGGGGATAAAAAAACTAATATGAAAAGTTGTTATTCTAAAAATCTTCATCTACTTGTATATTAAAGTTATACCAGCAAGAATTAGTCTTTATGTAGAAAACTAGGATTTACATCAAGCCTTACTGACTAGTGATTTAAATCAAATCCACCCTGCAAGCAACAGAGTACCATAATGCATAACTATCGGAAATCACCTTTCCACAATACTCTGGCATAGGTGGGACAAACACCCATACAAATTAAGATTGCAGGGGTTAAGGTCTGGCTTCCAAAGCATTTGATCAAACTAAGATTGGTGTGGTCAGATGCTTGTAAAAGCCAGTAATGGCCGGTAAACACAAGACCGAGACTGCAAGTGATGAACTTGAAATATATACAGGGTTATTCAAAAAGATGGAGCAGATTTCAACTTTTTATTTCAAACTGTAAGGGATAGGAACACATTCGGCGCATCACTGAATAGAGGAAGATTTATAGTTTTATGGTCCTTGAGGTTGTATGCATTCAACATGAGTACCATGTGTTGAGCAACAAAAACCAAAATGGTAGACCATTTCTTGCCACACACGAATCAACTAGTCGTTAGTTACTAAATTCACAACTTCAACAATTCGCTGCCTCAGATTTTGAAGAGTAGCAGGCATAGGTGGGACAAACACCCATACAAATTAGGATTGCAGAGGTTAAGGTCTGGCTTCCAAAGCATTTGATCAAACTAAGATTGGTGTGGACAGATGCTTGTAAAAGCCGGTCATGGCCGGTAAACACAAGACCGAGACTGCAAGTGATGAAATCCTCGTCGCTTCTGGTTTCTGATATCGCAGAGAGGGTGCAACAACTGTTCCTACCTCTCTGTGCAGTTCAGCTGATGCCCGCTGGTTGCAGCAGTCCCAGGTTCTCCCATGGGACTACAGAGCCAAGGAAAGGTGGCAATGGGAGGGGGCACCCTCTTCCACTGCCTGTAGAAGTGATCAAGAGGCTGTTAACAGGGAGTGGATAAGAGGGTACCACCAATCCTCCTGTACGGGGCCCAGGCTGGCAGGGTGGGTGAATCAGATATGGGCAGGGAAGGTGATCGGAACAGTGGGTGGGGCAATTACTGGAACCGATCACCTGTATGGCTCTCTGCAGCAGCTGAAAGCTGGCTTCTTCTCTCCTCGGCTGGTTGGCAGCTGCTGCAGAGACAGCAATACAGGGAATCGGTTCAAGTAACTACACCCCCCCCCAGCCACACCAATCACCCTCCCTGTGCACCATACAGTTCCCCCTGCTGCCCAGGCCCCCCTGTGTGCCCCCCCAATCCTGCAGTGCTTCTGGCTTCCCTCTTCTCCTTCCCACTAACAGCTGCAAGCACACAATAGGATCCTTCAGGATGGGGAGTGTCATATGTGGCAGTGTCACATTTACTAGCCCCTTCTTTCCTGAATGAACACAATGAGTGATCGGTACCGCTCACTCACTGTATTCATTCCTACCTGAAGTATAGTAAACTTTTTTTGGGAGGGGGGCCCTGTCAGGTTGGCTGTATGCGGCCCCGTTGTTTCTAACAGCATCCCTGGTTGTATAGCGAAAGTATAGACAATCGCCAATGGTCCTTGAGGTTGTATGCACTCAACATGACCACCATGTGTTGTGCAACAAAAATCAAAATGGTAGACCATTTCTGGCCACAAACAAAGCAACTGGTCGCTAGTTACTGAATTCACAACTTCAACAATTCAATGTCTTGGATCTTGAAGAGTGGGATCTTGAAGAGTAGCAGACATAGGTGTGACAAGCCCCCCTACAGATTTAAATTTCAGTGGGTAAGGTCTGTGGGTTGTCACCCGGGAGGCCACAGACAATGAACAAGATCTTGTTGCCCAACTCTTCCAATCCATCGTCCTGGAATGGTGCCCGCTCAGATATGCCAAGTGGAAATGAAACGGGGCACCATCTTGCATGAAAATTAAGTCATTGGAATCTTCTTGAGGTTGGGGGGAGGGGGGGGGGGGGGGGGGGGGGGGGGGGGGGGGGGAACAACCAATTTTGTATCATGTCTGAATATGAAAATCCTGACAAAGTTTGCTCGCCAAAGAAAGGCCTATAAACTTTGCTTACAGAAATGGCGCAAAACACATTTAGCTTTGGCGAGTCTCTTTCATGTCCGATGACTATGCATGAATTTGCGCTGCCCCAAATTCTAACAATGTAGCAGTTAACCTCACCAGAGAAATGAAATGTTGATTCATCCGAAAAAAAAAATCATAATTTGGAAAAAAAAATGTCCTCTTATATCCTGCAGAATTGCAGCACAAAATTCAAACAATCTGTTCTAGTCGTCAGGAAGCAATGCCTGCAGTAACTGCAACTTGTATGGCTGCATATGCAGGTTTTAAGAACACGCCATACGATTGGTGGTGTCAGTGATGTGCTTCTATCCATTACAGTTTGTTTGAAATAAAAAGTTGAAATTTACTCCATTTTTTTGAATAACCCCGTAGAGGAGAGAGATTTTACCTGCCATTGGATTTCTATTTCTGTCCATTCAGTCCTGAAATTTACACAGCTCTACAGGCAGCAAAGCTGGATTGGAGACTTGACTTGTCTTCTGCATTTAAGCAGTAAAGTTAGGTCACCTCCCTGCCCCCCAGCCTGTGATTGGATAGTAACTAAACAGGAGCTCATCCCTCCTATCCCCTTATGACATCACATTCTTATACCTCAGCATATGTGTATGGGGTACATGTGATTGGCTCCTAGTTCTGCCTCTCCCTCTCCTACTGTACAGTTAATTATAATAGGCTGAAACCAAGCAAAATTCAGGTACTAGTCACATTAAAGTGTATGAATATTTTACTGTTAAAGTTTAATCTGCCTATATTTTGCCTCCCCCCTCGCCATGCTGATATTAATAAATAAAACCTGTTTTCATTGCATATCTTATTTTACACCAGGTGATGTCATCACTGGGTCTCTGTGCTTCTCTGTGCAATGCAGGTAGATAATGCCAGGTGGGAGGGTCTGGCAGAGTGCAGGCCTTTTACCTTCCCCGGTTTCCTCCTTTTTCCCCTTCGCCATGCTGATATTATTAAATAAAACCTGTTTTCATTGCATATCTTATTTTACACCAGGTGATGTAATCACTGGGTCTCTGTGCTTTTCTGTGCAATGCAGGTAGATAATGCCTGGTGGGAGGAGCTTGCAGAGTGCAGGCCTTTTGCCTTCCCTGGTTCCTCCTTTTTCCCCTTCGCCATGCTGATATTATTAAATAAAACCTGTTTTCATTGCATATCTTATTTTACACCAGGTGATGTCATCACTGGGTCTCTGTGCTTCTCTGAGCAATGCAGGTAGATAATGCCTGGTGGGAGGGTCTGGCAGAGTGCAGGTGTTTTGCCTTCCCCAGTTCCTTCCTTTTTCCCCCTCGCCATGCTGATATTATAAATAAAACCTGTTTTCATTGCATATCTTATTTTTACACCAGGTGATGTCATCACTGGGTCTCTGTGCTTCTCTGTGCAATGCAGGTAGATAATGACTGGTGGGAGGGGCTTGCAGAGTGCAGGCCTTTTGCCTTCCCTGGTTCCTCCTTTTTCCCCCTCGCCATGCTGATATTATTAAATAAAACCTGTTTTCATTGCATATCTTATTTTACAACAAGTGATGTCATCACTGGGTCTCTCTGCTTCTCTGTGCAATGCAGGTAGATCATGCCTGGTGGGAGGGGCTGGCAGGGTGCAGGCTTCCTAAAAACATCCCAGCAGTCTGCCTCAGTGCTGCTTTCGAGAGCCCTTACCCCTTCTGCAAGCAATGGGCTGGCTCTTGGGAGAAGTTATAAAGACATCAAAATGCCTTGACGGTTGGGTGTCAGTTTGGAGTAGTGGGCATTCGGTAAAATCTAATAAATGAAAGGTTCGGGCCTGAGACAGTCAGGCTGGGGAGGAAAGTGCTAGGAGATGATGGACGTCCTCCAGCCAGGGAATGGGGCAGGCTCAGACTTGATACAATTTCTAACACATTGTGGGGGTTATTTACTATAACTGGAGAATGCAAAATCTGGTGAAGCTCTGTAGAGTAACCAATCAGCTTCCAGGTTTTATTGCCATAGCTTCATCGAACAAGCTGAAGTTAGACTGGTTACTCTACAGAGCTTCACCAGATTCTGAGTGCTCCAGTTTTAGTAAATCTCCCCCGTGAGAAGTTTCTCCACACTTACCTGGTTCAGTGCCCATCGATAGTGTCTGGAGATCTTATAGTAGCCTTGAAACTTCCTATGTTCTGGTGGAGCAGGCACCTCAGAAAGGTCCGGCTGATTAATATGAGTGATGGCATCTCCATACGAGTCAATGACCCTGGATGTCTCGGCATGGCCGCAATCTTGGCTAACGATGATGGGGAACTGCTCCGCCGAAGGGCGGTATTTAAGCAGAGAGTCCAAACACTTCCTGACAGACGGACGATCGCATGCTACTACAAGGATGGGAATGACTACTGCTTCTGGGTCAAAGGCCAAGGGTGTTGGAGAAGGAATGGAAAGGTTAGCAAGTCTCTGGGGTAACTGTGGACCACGTGCAGCATTCGGAGGAGCCGGCTGGCGTTTAAGAAGACCGCTGTAGTGGTGGATTTGTTGAAGAAGCCCCTTCTGCTTCTCCAGCTCTGCTTCGGCTTCTTCCGCCAATCGGATGACGTGCGCTGTAAGGTCCGTGGCATCGGGACCCTTTGGTCGGCTCATGAGGTAGAGGAGGAGAATGGCATTCCATGAGATAAAGAGGGCCGCCCCCCAGGCCGCCACGCTGACTTTGCGCGGCATTCCCCTGGGGGGTCCCAGATTAGTTTCGGACCCTCTGAACAACCGGTCTTGCAAAGTTAAAGGCGGGAAAGGCGAGGTCTTCCAGCGACCAGATAGTCTCAGTAGACCAGGCTACACGTCAGGCCACCACACTTCACCAAAAACATTGCATATCTTTCGGCAACATTGGCTGCTCCAACGTCAGATTAACAGATCTTCGGTCAGAAAAATGTTATCCTTCGCCAACCTGAAAGAGATAAAGGAGTCCATTATTACCACATTCAAATAAAACACAAAAAATGATAGAAATGTATCTTAGGCCTTGTTCAGAAGGGCGCTGGCACCAGTACTGTGCGCAGGTGGCGTTAGTTTCGGCATCTGCATGCAGACCCACCTGTGTACAGGCAGCCTATGGAAGTGGATACAGATCAGGGGTGGACTGACAACTCATGGGGCCCGCTGGGCAATAGGGGCTTGTGTCCTCACCCACACCCAAAAAAGCCTATGAAAAAGGCAATTAAAGGTACCAGGGGCATCTCATGGGGCCCCCTACTGATCCCAGGCCCTCGGGCAGTGCCCGGTTGCTCGAATGGTCAGTCCGCCCCGATACAGATGCATGGATATGCTGCTGTCAAAATTTGAGAACTGTGCATTCAGGGCCATGTACCCATGTATTAAAAAAAAATAAAAAATAATAGACTATACAGAACGAGATGCAATAATGAATATGGTAATGAACATCATCTGTGTCTATCCAGTCGTTGTGTCTGCATTCACTTCCACAGGTGGGTGGATGAAGACGCCAACACCGACAATTCCTGCACGCAGTACGAGTGCCAGCCTTTGTGTGAACGAGACCTAGAGCCAGAACCTTCCTGCGGTTCTAGATAGAGTGATGAAGGGTTAGAACTTCTGTGAGGTGTTTATTGCTGACTGTGTCACCTCTGGGAAGATTCACCCTATTTGTCTGAGGACCTCAGTCATGGGGACTAAAAGTCACAGAAAATCTAAAATTCCAGAACAGGTGTTCTTCCAAAGATGGGATTCATCCTTTTTTTTGGAGAAATTTCTTCCCACTTCTGAGATTGGGAGTGAAAAGAAATTGTTCCAAAAAGCAAAAAAAAAAAAAATTTATTTTATAACATTTCTCGGACGTTCATTACTTGAGTCCACTTACACCCGCCTGTCTCCAATCAAATCCAACCCACTTATAAAATATATCTTTTTTTCTTTTAAGTGGGTTGGATTTGATTGGAGATAGGTGGGTGTAAGTGGACTCAAGTAATGAATGTCTAGAAATGTTATAAAATATATCTTTTTTTTTTTTTTTTTTTTTTTTTTTAAGCGGGTTGGATTTGATTGGAGACAGGCGGGTGTAAGTGGACTCAAGTAATGAATGTCTAGAAATGTTATAAAATATATCTTTTTTTTTTTTTTTTTTTTTTAAGCGGGTTGGATTTGATTGGAGACAGGCGGGTGTAAGTGGACTCAAGTAATGAATGTCTAGAAATGTTATAAAATATATAAAAATTATAATTTTTTTTTTTTTTTTTTAACATTTCTTAGACATGTCCACTTACACCCGCCTGTCTCCAATCAAATCCAACTCGCTTAAAAAAAAAAAAAAGAAAGATATTTTACAACATTTCTCGGACGTTTATTACTTGAGTCCATTTACATTTACACCCGCCTGTCTCCAATCAAATCCAACCTGCTTAAAAAAAAAAAAAAAAAAAAAGAAAAAAAGATATATTTTATAACATTTCTCGGACATTCATTACTTGAGTCCCTTACACCCGCCTGTCTCCAATCAAATCCAACCCGCTTAAAAAAAAAAAAAAAAAAAAAAAAAGATATATTTTAAAACATTTCTCAGACGTTCATTACTTGAGTCCCTTACACCCGCCTGTCTCCAGTCAAATCGAAGCCGCTTAAAAAAAAAAAAAAAAAAAAAAAGATATATTTTATAACATTTCTCGGACATTCATTACTTGAGTCCACTTAACCCGCCTGTCTCCAATCAAATCCAACCGGCTTATAAAATATATCTTTTTTTCTTTTAAGTGGGTTGGATTTGATTGGAGATGGGGGGTGTAAGTGGACTCAAGTAATGAATGTCTAGAAATGTTATAAAATATATCTTTTTTTCTTTTTTAACATTTCTCAGACATGTCCACTTACACCCGCCTGTCTCCAATCAAATCCAACTCGCTTAAAAAAAAAAAAAAAAGATATTTTATAACATTTCTCGGACGTTTATTACTTGAGTCCATTTACATTTACACCCGCCTGTCTCCAATCAAATCCAACCTGCTTAAAAAAAAAAAAAAAAAAAAAAAAGATATATTTTATAACATTTCTCGGACATTCATTACTTGAGTCCCTTACACCCGCCTGTCTCCAATCAAATCCAACCCGCTTAAAAAAAAAAAAAAAAAAGAAAAAAAGATATATTTTAAAACATTTCTCAGACGTTCATTACTTGAGTCCCTTACACCCGCCTGTCTCCAGTCAAATCGAAGCCGCTTAAAAAAAAAAAAAAAAAAAAGATATATTTTATAACATTTCTCGGACATTCATTACTTGAGTCCACTTACACCCGCCTGTCTCCAATCAAATCCAACCGGCTTATAAAATATATCTTTTTTTCTTTTAAGTGGGTTGGATTTGATTGGAGATGGGCGGGTGTAAGTGGACTCAAGTAATGAATGTCTAGAAATGTTATAAAATATATCTTTTTTTTTCTTTTTTAACATTTCTCAGACATGTCCACTTACACCCGCCTGTCTCCAATCAAATCCAACCCACTTAAAAAAAAAAAAAAAAAAAAAAAAAAAAAAGAAAGATATTTTATAACATTTCTGGACGTTTATTACTTGAGTTCATTTACATTTACACCCGCCTGTCTCCAATCAAATCCAACCCACTTAAGAAAAAAAAAAAAAAGCTGTAGGGGAGTCTGTCGCCTCCGTCAGGGCCAATCAGATCAGAGGGCATTTAGGTGTAATTGGACAACCAGTCCATTTACATCTGACTGCCCATATAGCAGTATAGCAGAGCAAGCTGTGTCAACCCCCCCCCCCCCCCCCCTGAGCAGAGGATCAGTGGACAGGGGCCCCGTTGAGCAAAGTGGATTCTGCCCCATGTGAAGGGGGCCTAAAGCCAAACACAGTTTGCATGTGCTTGTGTGTATCAGTTGTCCGCATTACTGTCACTGGGGCCCTTGGCTCTAATCCCTACCAAGACACTATCTGCATGGAGTTTTCATGTTCCCCCTGGGTTTGCATAGGTTTCCTCCCACACTCCAAAGACATGCTGGTAGATGAATTGTCTCCTGTCCAGATTGGCTCTAGTGTATGTGAGATAAGGCCCTGTGACAGTGCGAGGGTCCTGCCACTGTGGAAATATAGGGATACAGAGATCACACATAGGGCTCTTTCACATAGGCATTAAAAATACAGTGGATATAAAAAGTCTACACACCCCGGTTAAAATGTCAGGTTTCTGTGATGTAAAAAAATGAGACAAAGATAAATCATTTCAGAACTTTTTCCAGCTTTAATGTGATCTATAAACTGTACAACTCAGTTGAACACCAAACTGAAATATTTTAGGCGGAGGGAAGTAAAAATAAAAAACTAAAATAATATGGTTGCATAAGTGTGCACACCCCTACACTAAACTAATACTTTGTTGAAGCCCCTTTTGATGTGATTCCAGCACTCAGTCTTTTTGGGGTTGAGTCTATCAGCATGGAACATCTTACTTGGCAATATTTGCCCGCTCTTCCTTGCAAAAACACTCCAAATCTGTCAGATTGCGATGACATTTCCTATGCACAGCCCTCTTCAGATCACCCCACAGATTTTCCATTGGATTCAGGTCTGGGCTCTGGCTGGGCCATTCCAAAACTTTCATCTTCTTCTGGTGAAGCCATTCCTTTGTTGATTTGGATGGATACTTTGGGTCGTTGTCATGCTGAAAGATGAAGTTCCTCTTCATGTTCAGTCTTCTAGCAGAAGCCTGAGGTTTTGTGCCAATATTGACTGGTATTTGGAACTGTTCATAGTTCCCTCTACCTTGACTAAGGCCCCAGTTCCAGCTGAAGAAAAACATCCCCAAAGCATGATGCTGCCACCACCATGCTTCACTGTGGGTATGGTGTTCTTTTGGTGATATGCAGTGTTGTTTTTACACCAAACATATCTTTTGGAATTATGGGCAAAAAGTTCAACCTTGGTTTCATCGGATCATAACACATTTTCCCACATCCTTTTGGGAGACTTCAGATGTGCTTTTGCAAAATTTAGCCGGGCTTGGATGTTTTTCTTCATAAGAAAAGGCTTCCATCTTGCCACTCTACCCCATAGCCCAGACATGAAGAATACGGGAGATTGTTGTCACATGTACCACACAGTCAGAACTTGCCAGATATTCCTGTAGCTCCTTTTATTGTTGCTGTAGGCCTCTGGCAGCCTCCCAGACCAGTTTTCTTCTCATCTTTTCATAAATTTTGGAGGAACATCCAATTCTTGGTAATGTCCCTGTTGTGCCATATTTTCTCCACTTGATGATGACTGTCTTCACTGTGTTCCATGGTATATCTAATACCTTGGAAATTCTTTTGCACCCTTCTCCTGACTGATACCTTTTAACATGATTTTGAATGTGATTGCTTAATTTTGAACACAGCTACACCCCCAGTTATAAGAGGGTGTGTACACTAATGCAACCACATTATTTTAGTTTTTTTATGCTTACCCCCCCCCCCCCCCCTAAAAGATTTCAGTTTGTTTTTGAGATGTACAGTTTATAGGTCACATTAAAAGGTGGAAAAAGTTCTGAAATTATTTCTTTGTCTCATTTTTTTACATCATAGAAACCACACAGTTTAACAGGGGTGTGTAGACTTTTTATATCCACTGTAGGTGGTTGAGTTGCATTTTTACCGCTTGCTGATCACCTATCAACGCTAATCAAAATTGTTACAACAGGGAGCGCATGGAGGTATTCACACTGCAGCATTAGCATTGCATTGTGTTGCGTCGAGGCAAAAATAACGCTGCCTGAAGAGTTTGGCAAGCATTGCCACTTTGCAACTGCCTCTATTCACACTTCTATTGAAACGCACCACAACTGCACCTTAACCCCTTCACGCCAGCGCCTCCCGGCCCTTTAAGGATTTCAGAAGACGGGAGGCGGGGCGGGGTTTAGGGTCATGTGACCACCGTGACAAGCCATCACATGATCGGGAAAGGTCCCGATTGAAAGAGGAGATCGGGACCTTTCCGTGAGTACCGGACATGTTGGCTGGGAGCGCGCTCTCAGCACATATGTTCTTTTTTAATAAAACACAAATGTGCGGCCACTCAACGTCTAGGCCCAGACGCCAGGAAGCCGCACATTTGCGTTCGGCCGGCGTGAAGAGGTTAAATACACCGTAAATGTGCCTATGGAATTTAGTGTTTATGGTGCAGTTGCAAAAGTAATTTCTCATTTTAGCCTTGTAAAAAAAGAAAAATACAATACAACTTAAAGGGCATTTGAGGACACAACATGAACGCCTGTACAACAAATCCAAAATGCTCATTAATGCTATAGGTGCATTGTGCTCTTAGGCTGCTGTAAAATTTGATGCCAGTTCAGGACTCCAGAATGTCAGTTCTGAGCAGAGAAAGGTGGTTTTCTTTCTCCGGGTTTTGAAATTCCTGGATGAGGGTCTGAAGGTAGGAGACTTCAAAGTGCCTTTGGTGAGAAGAAGTCTCCAACTCAGAATCACCCCAACAACACAGCCAGGGGCGTATTTACCACATGGCAAACAAAGCACTTGCCTAGGGCGGCATTTTTCAAGGGGGCAGCACCTCCCCCCAGAAGAAGGGATGAAAGAAGGGACAAGCACACCATGGGAACCAGGTGGGATCCGAGAGAGGCCGGTTGATGGTGTATGTAGAGCCTGACTCTTGTTCCTGGGGATGTGAAGATGAGTGTCTCTCTATCGCTGGGAAGGGGGGGGGGGTCATGGAAGGCTCTCCCAGGTGGGGGGCAGGGGTCATGTTGGTCACAGCCCTTAGATTGTAAGCTCCTCGGGGACAAGCACTGATGCAAATGTACAATATGTAAATTGCCAGCGCTACATAAATACCTGTAATATACACTCATGGGCCACTATGTTAGGTACGCCTGTTCAATTGCTTGCTAACACAAATTGCTAATCAGCCAATCACATGGCAACTCAATGCATTTAGGCATGTAGACATGGTGAAGACGACTTGCTGAAGTTCAAATCAAACATCAGAATGGGGAAGAAAGTGGATTTAAGTGACTTTGAATGTGTCACAGTTGTTGGTGCCAGACGGGTTGGTCTGAGCATTTCAAAAACTGCTGATTTACTGGGATTTCGACATACAACCATCTCTAGGGTTTACAGAGAATGGTCCGAAAAAGAGAAAATATCCAGTGAGTGGCAGTTGTGTAGAGGAAAATGCCTTGTTGGTGTCAGATGTCAGAGGAGAATGGGCAGACTGGTTGCTGCGACATTCAGATGGTAGGGTCAGAATGTGGCGCAAACAACATGAAAGCATGGATCCATGACATGGCAGCAACTCAATGTATTTAGGCATCTAGACGTGGTAAAGACGACTTGCTGAAGTTCAAACCGAACATCAGAATGGGGAAGAAAGGGGGTTTAAGTAATTTTGAATGTGTCGCGGTTGTTGGTGCCAGACAGGCTGGTCTGAGTATTTCAAAAACTGCTGAGCTCCTGGGATTTTCACGCACAACCATCTCTAGGGTTTACGGAGAATGGTCCGAAAAAGAGAAAATATCCAGTGAGCGGCAGTTGTGTGGATGAAAATGCCTTGTTGATGTTAGAGGTCAGATGAGGATGGTCAGACTTGTTGCTGAGACATTCAGATGGTGGGGTCAGAATTTGGTGCAAACAACATGAAATTATGGATCCATCCTGCCTTGTAAGAACGGTTCAGGCTGCTGGTGGTGTAATGGTGTGGAGGAGATTTTCTTGGCACCAGCAAGGTGGACCTAATAAAGTGGTGGAGGAGTGTATAATAATTTGCTTTTATTTATTGCAACGTCTTTTCTCCTTGGGTTACCTTAGTGCAGATTTTACAATTTTTGGCCAGTCTTGGGCTATTTTTAGCTGACACTTGGTTACCCCGTATGACGAGCTAAAATGCCTGAAGAGCCAAATGCTGAAAGCAGGCAAAAGTATCAGAAGAATGTAATTGGATTAGACAAAAAAAAAAAATCCAGCCGTGATGAAAGAAAACAAAGGAGGAAGATTAATGAGAGCCACGCTAATTGTCTTGTAACTGCAGCTCTTGTCTCTGACCTCTGACTGCTGCGGTCTCCGGCTAGAATGAGGAATTAGCTGCAGCAACACAAACACAGATTTCCATCTGACAATCTGCAGACTCCCAGCCCAGGCTTCCTGCACAGAGAACATTGCCTTCTTCTGGGAAGAGATAGTGGTTTGGGAGATAACTACAAAGAAGAAAAAAGAAGGGGGAAAAGAAGGGGGAAAGAAGGGGGGAAAAAAGGGGGGGGAAAAAAAGGGAAAAGAGAAAAAAGGAAAAAGAAAAAAGGAAAAAAAGGGGAAAAAAAGAAGAAGGGAAAAAAAGGAGGAAAAAAAGAGGTAAAAAAAAGGGGAAAAAAAAAGGGAAAAAAAAAATGTTCTCCTTTTTTGGCTGGTTACATATTAAATACTACATTTATTATTTATGGTTCCTGCACAGAGAACATTGCCTTCTTCTGGGAAGAGATAGTGGTTTGGGAGATAACTACAAAGAAAAAAAAAAAGGGAAAAAGAAGGGGGAAAAAGTAAAAGGGAAAAAGTAAAAGGGAAAAAGTAAAAGGAAAAAAAAAAGGAAGGGGAAAAAAAGGAGGAAAAAAGGGGTAAAAAAGAAGGAAAAAAAAAAGCAGGAAAAAGGGAAAAAATATTATTTTTTCCTTTTTTGGCTGGTTACATATTAAATACTACATTTATTATTTATGATTTCAGGTACTTATATAGTGCCGTCAATTTACACAGCGCTTTACATATATATTGTACATTCACATCAGTCCCTAACCCTCAAGGGGCGTACAATCTAAGGTCCCTAACTCACATTCATACATACACATACTAGGGACTATTTAAACAGGAGCCAATTAACCTACCAGAATGTCTTTGGAGTGTGGGAGGAAACCGGAGTACCCGGAGGAAACCCATGCAAACACAGGGAGAACATGCAAACTCCAGGCAGGTGGTGCCGTGGTTGGGATTGTGAACCAACGACCCGAGTACTGCCAGGCAGAAGTGCTAACCACTTAGACACTGTGCTGCTATACTAACCTATAACTATTGTATTCTGCTGATCAGCCAGCAGGTGGTGCTTTAGGCTCCTTACACTGAACTTCTCCCTGATAGTTGCTTAAAGCAGAACTTCACTCTCTAAATCAGCATTGATTATTTCTAATCCTTATACTTTCCTATTACTAATCATATATTTACTTTTTTGTAACCTTTTTTATTTTATATTTCTTCAGTTAGTTCCTGGTTTCTATGCCTCAGCAAATTATGTTATTATTATTATACAGGATTTATATAGCGCCATGGTTTGCTCAGCGCTTTACACAATATAAAAGGAAACAATACAGCAACAATACAGTTCAATACAAGAGGGAAAGGAGAGCCCTGATCCTGGGAGCTTACAATCTAGGAGGGAGGGGCTAGCGTTACAAAACATAGTAACTGTGGGGGATGGACTGGTTGGAAGAGTAGAAGATTCCAGTATTAGCTGAGGGCAGGATAGGCTTCCCTGAAGAGATAGGTTTTCAGAGATCGCCTAAAAGTGAGCAGAGTAGGAGATAGTCGGATAGATTGGGGTAGAGAGTTCCAGAGGAGGAAGCTCTGGAGAAGTCCTGTAGATGAGCATGGGAGGAGGAGAAAAGAAAGCTAGAGAGTAGGAGGTCGTGCGAGGAATGGAGAGTACGGTTTGGGTGATATTTAGAGACAAGATCGGTGATGTAATTTGGGGCAGAGTTATAAATGGTTTTATATGTGATTGTTAATGTTTTGAATGGAGGGATTGGCAGAGAGGGGTGGAGAACACTGAGTGGAGGCCAGTGGAGGGATTGGCAGAGAGGGGGTGGAGGACACTGAGTGGAGGGATTGGCAGAGAGCGGTGGAGAACACTGAGTGGAGGCCAGTGGAGGGATTGGCAGAGAGGGGTGGAGGACACTGAGTGGAGGCCAGTGGAGGGATTGGCAGAGAGGGGTGGAGGACACTGAGTGGAGGCCAGTGGAGGGATTGGCAGAGAGGGGTGGAGGACACTGAGTGGAGGCCAGTGGAGGGATTGGCAGAGAGGGGGTGGAGGACACTGAGTGGAGGCCAGTGGAGGGATTGGCAGAGAGCGGTGGAGGACACTGAGTGGAGGCCAGTGGAGGGATTGGCAGAGAGCGGTGGAGGACACTGAGTGGAGGCCAGTGGAGGGATTGGCAGAGAGGGGTGGAGGACACTGAGTGGAGGCCAGTGGAGGGATTGGCAGAGAGAGGGATGGAGGACACCGAGTGGAGTCCAGTGGAGGGATTGGCAGAGAGGGATGGAGGACACTGAGTGGAGACCAGTGGAGGGATTGGCAGAGAGGGGTGGAGGACACTGAGAGGAGGTCAGTGGAGGGATTGGCAGAGAGGGATGGAGGACACTGAGTGGAGGTCAGTGGAGGGATTGGCAGAGAGGGATGGCAGATACAGAACGGTTAGTAAGGTGGATGAGTCTGGAGGAAGCATTCATGATAAGACTGAAGTGGGAGTTACAATAGTCATACACCCCAGCAGTCTAAAGGAGGGGAGGCCTATGCTTGAGCTATGGGAAGAGGGATTCCAGGAAGTAAATGATAGATAAATCATCTGCCCTCACTTAAGATGGCCAAGCCAGAAATGCTAGGGGAGGTGTTTTTCAAAATGATTTCTCAGCAAAATAAAAAGCATGGAGATGTGTATAGATGGGGGAGTTTGCTTTGAATATTAAAAATGAATTAAATAGCATTTTTGGTTTGCGGTGCTCAGGTGCGGGTGCATTTCGAGGTCAATACATTTGATTAAAATCAACCCCCTCCCGCCCAGCCCTGCCCAGTGCCGTTAGTACAGTGTCGGTGCTTTTTATTAGCACTGATCAATGTATTGGTGTCACTGGGGATGTCAGTTCCCCCCAGTGTCAGAAAAGTCACTGATCTCCACCATTACTAGTAAAAAAAAAAAATAGAATTCCATTATCTATACCACCATTTGTAGACTCTATAACTTTCACATAAACCAATTAATTTACACGTATCGGGTTTTTTTTTAGCAAAGACATGTCGCAGAATACATTTTGGCCTACATTTAAGACAAAATTTTATTTATTTTTTGCATTTTTTTTTTACAGGACAGGTTTAATAGCAAAAAGTCAAAATATTTTTTTTCTCAAAATTGTCACCCTTTTTTGTTTATAGCGGACAAAAAAAAACGCAGAGGCGATCAAATACAACCAAAAGAAAGCTCAGTATGTAAATGTCATTTGGGTGCAGCGTTGCATGACTGCGCAATTGTCAGTTAAAGTAACGCAGTATCGCAAAAAATGGCCTTTTCGGGGGGGGGGGGGGGGTTAAATCCTCTGGAGGGTAAGTGGTTAACTGGTCTATTATGCCCAAGGGTCAGGAAGGTCTGCCCAATCATGTGAACACTGTGATTGGCTGTCCCAGTGATCACATGATCAGAAGCTGGTTGCGCCACCTCTAGGTCATTACTAGAGACTGGGTGCGGTCTTTGAAAGTTGGTAGCACGCTCTCAGCACAGAAAGCTCTGCCGCCCAAGGACGGACATGTGTGGCATTAAAGCCAACGCTTTTCAAATTTCCAGTTCCGGCGCCACAAGTGAAGGACGCAGAGGACGGCGGCTCTGGAATACACCTGCTTACAAAGCCTGCTAAACAGCCCGGGGGACCCACGCAGGCGGCGTCTGCCACCCCCCACTACCGCATGGAGCGGTACTTGATCCCCTCCGGTGCTGAACCCGTCATCACTCCGTCCATCCACTCCGACACAGGCAATTAAGATGGCCGACGGCATGGACACAGGGAACACAGTCTCCGATGCACAACCACACGCCACTGAGGCGGACCAGCCTGATGACCAGTATGGTAGGATTGCTCAGGCTGTTGCAGCCTTGCTCTCCCCAACCATTACATATGCAGTGGACAGGGCAGTGTCGGCGGGCATTGAGCAGATTAGAAAGGAATTGAGAGACCATGCCACGCGAATCATGGAGGCGGAACAGCCAATCGTGGAGGGGGAACAGCCAATCGTGGAGGGGGAACAGCCAATCGTGGAGGGGGAACAGCCAATCATGGAGGGGGAACAGCCAATCATGGAGGGGGGAACAGCCAATCATGGAGGAGGAACAGCTAATCTCAGACAGAGGATGAATTACAGAGCTCTCAGGCTGCAGCTTTACAAGCCACTAGGACTCAGCAATACATTTTAGACAAGATTGATGACCTAGAAAATCGTTCTCCAAGGAACAATCGTGGAGGCGGAACAGCGAATCGTGGAGGCGGAACAGCGAATCGTGGAGGCGGAACAGCGAATCGTGGAGGCGGAACAGCGAATCGTGGAGGCGGAACAGCGAATCGTGGAGGCGGAACAGCAAATCGTAGAGGCGGAACAGCGAATCGTGGAGACGGAACAGCGAATCGTGGAGACGGAACAGCGAATCGTGGAGGAGGAACAGTGAATCCTGGAGACGGAACAGCGAATCGTGGAGACGGAACAGCGAATCGTGGAGATGGAACAGCGAATCGTGGAGAGGAACAGCGAATCGTGGGGAGAGGAACAGCGAATCGTGGGGGAGGAACAGCGAATCCGTGGGGCGGAACAGCGAATCGTGGAGATGGAACAGCGAATCGTGGAGGAGGAACAACGAATCCTGGAGGCAGAACAGCGAATCGTGGAGAGGAACAGCGAATCATGGAGACGGAACAGCGAATCTCAGACAGAGGATGAATTACAGAGCTCCCAGGCTGCAGCTTTACAAGCCACTCGGACTCAGCAATACATTTTAGACAAGATTGATGACTTAGTAAATCGTTCTCCAAGGAACAATTTGAGAATTATAGGCCGTCCAGAATCACTTATCACTGACTCTTTGGCTGACTTTTGTGCTCCATGCCTCCCTGAGGTTGGGAGTTACATTTCCTTGTCTTTGGAACGGGCGCCGTGTGGGAGCTCGATGGATCACCGCCTACCGCGCCCCATAATAGTTCGCTATTTTTAGACAAGTTCCCATTTTGAGGGCATTCCATTCAACACGCACACTCCACATTGAAGGCCACAAAATTTTTTATTTGCCGAATTCACAGGAGGTGTCCAGTAAATCAGCCTTATCAACTGGTTTCTTTGGCTGTTGACTTTTGTGCCTGACACACATGCAAATCTCCCTCTGGAGTGATCTATAAACTGCCTTTAGTACACAACTCTGTATTCCTTCACCCTCTGCATAAACGGGGCGCACCGTGTGGAAGCTGAACCTCTTATCACAACAGGTCAAAAGTGCTTAATAATTCCCACACTACAGAGCTTTACTTCATCAGCTTCACTGTGCCTCCAGTCCCGGGGACATACCAGGGACACAGACACACAAAGGAGACAATCTCACTGTATAATTCCATTTGTTAAAACTCAGCAATTCACAACACTCACAGGACCCAACACATATCACCATTAGGACGTCATCAGGGGCTTCTGATGAAGTCCCAATGAGGAAACACATAGGCGGGACCAACAGCAATATGACATCACGCGCTAAAGACATTGGTCCCACCCAACACGTTACGGCATTAGGACTTCCTCAGGAGAACCTAACGCAGTCTTAACCCCTTCCTGCCCAGCATCCCTTTCATGGGGTTTGTACGCCCAGGTGGCAGGAAGGATTGGCTGATCGTCTGAGAACTGTGATTGGCTGTCTGTAACGGAACCAACCCAGACTGCGCTTGGGTACTTCCGTTAGAATACCGCTTCCCCGTCCGAATACCGACAACTGACCATACAAGACTAGACAACACCAGTCTGGAAGTAATCCAGAAGGTAGACTAGTTCATTTGAACACAGATACAAGATATATACACTCAGGGACAGTCCCCCCTCCCTGCATAATGACACAGGGGGGGGGCAATCTACATTTAGTAACAAGAGACACATAGGTATTCAAACAACACACCAGCAGACAGTCCCATCAGGAGGGAGGGCTGCTGGAGACACCCCCCCAATAAGCTAATACACATAAACACATACATCCCATAATAGTTTGCTCCCAAACCAGACACACAATAGAACAATGGGATGCAGCCACACAACACCAAACAATCCACAACCCCCCACCCCACCTATCTCCTAGACAGGTCTACACAATATTAGGACAGATCACCCTGTACCCCCAACAGGCACAGGGTGACTTACACATAAGAGGGATATGGGGAGCTGAGACAGGGTCTCCCCACCTCTCCAAAGTGAGCTGTGTTCCATGGGCCCCCCAACCAAAGTTACTCCCGTCACACTGTCTTTGTGGTCACATCATCAAGAGCTGGTCCCACCGACTCTGGATCATTAGTGATTACAGTGATCACAATCTCAACACAGAACGATCTGCGGCCCATGGACGCGTGTATGCATTAAAGCCCATCCTCCTTGCTACCACACATGTGCATTACGTGTACAGATCGCTACACCCTTCTGAATGAAGCCTGATGCAGAATTCTGAACAAATTTTCTTTAGAAAATCTGAAATTTCGTGCGTTTTGTAATCCAATGGCGCCACCATTGATTTTGAAATTCAACCAACCAAGCCTTCAATGTCACCTCATGTTGCTACAGAAAAGAATTTTCATGGCTGGGAATTTTCTTTTCTTTCCAGGTCACGCTCACACTCATTTCTTTTTTGCTTACATTTCTGACACGATTCGCCCATCACTGATTCGAAATTTGTTTGTTTTTAAAAAAATTTCCAAAATGCCCAATCACTTGATGGCCACCCGAAAATCAGCGTTTTTCTATGACCCACTAATGGTGTGAAATTTGAACGAAAATCCTTAGAAAAGATTTTCAAAAGAAAATTCTTTTGAAATTCGACCCGTGGATGAACGCACACAGTTAACCCCTTGATATTAACAGCAGGGAGAAAAAAAAAAAACAGATCAGAAAGTAAAAGCAGCACATTTCACATAATTAGGCACACAGCTAACCCCTTTATTTCTCCTTGATGTTAACCCCTTCCCAGCCAGTGTCTTTAGTACAGTATTATCATTTATTATTGTATTAGTGTCACTAGCGATGTCAGTCAGTTAATGCATCTCCCAGCGAGGGTCTGTTAGCACTAGATTACCCACCGCACTATCACTGTCCTACTATAGGTCGCTAATCACTGCCATTACCAGTATAGTATCATAGCTGTTTAAATTCCAGTATATATTCCCACAGTTTGTAGATGCTATAACCTTCACACAAACCAAGTAAAATACACTTGTTAGGATTTGTTGGGTTTTTTTTTCACCAATGACATGTAGCAGAGTACATTTTAACCTAAAATTTATGAAGAAATTAGTTTTTTTTT